CAATGAAAACCCTCGGAAACGTGGACTTTGGCCGGAATAATTGAATTTGAATAAAAACGCACGAACCAACCCATTAGTTTTTTAATTGAAGTCTTTGAGTTTACGCTAGCGATTATCTATTCAAGAAGTCATTTATCTGAGCTTACATTTAGATTGCAGTCAAATTATCGCTCCTCTCTCTTCAAGCGTAAGCATATTTATTGGCCACTTTCGAAACAGACTAGAGAATATTGGAATATTGGCAAACAAATTCATCGTTTTTCAGATCCGTTGTTTTTTCAACAAGTCCAGTTCATTGCTTTCCAGAATTGTCCCTTTTACTTGCTACTTTTACCAACTGACACACGACATCACTCATGTTCAGGCATACTGCTCTATATTCTTCAGTGAATTACTCCAGTGGTCATAATGCTTGTTCATGTGATCTTTCATGATGCCTTGCCATTTTTTCACAACAAATTCACGCTATCGAAGGGATTCAACATCATCGCATGAGCCGAACCATCATTTTCCCTTCGCATTTGCACTTCAAGCTAAATTTGTATTCGATTTCAGAAACTTCAAGCCACAATCCCTAGTTGCCTCCCAGCAGTTAATATTAGGGAGAAAAAGTTTACCTATTAACATTTAATAAGTGTGATTGTTGAAAGGGTTTTTCGCTGGATAATCCGAGAGTTAATATAAATTTGCATTGTAATAGAATAATGACTGTAAAATCTATTAATTCACAATTAATTTATTGTCATATCGGTATATGGCGACATTATTGTGACGTGGCAAACGTGTTGGTCGTCATAACAAACATTAGAAATAGCGACTGTTAGATGGATGGATCGGTACACATATATTAGAACGTTTAGAGGGAATGAAAGCATTTCGAACGTTATATGCAAGGTGACAGCAGGAGTAGTCATGACATGAATCAGTTTTCAACAGAACTGACGGTGAAAAGAAATTGGAGCGGGATTGCTTATCAGAGCACTAGCATCTCTCTGACTGATTCGTTCCTCTCCTTGAAACTTTTTAAGATTCATTTTGCTATGAAACCGGTTCACTGGTGAAATTATCCTCTTGTGGTACCACTCAGATGTTAGAGCAAATTCAATTGAAACGTTTGATCTGAACACCGCTTGATTGATGTCAACGAAATCGATGATTATGATATGAAACTTTCTGATGTAATTTATCTCCACAAATCTTATCACCAACTCAGTCAATAATTAATCGATTAGTCATATTATCTCACGCTTCGTTAATATATTTGTTAATCATATTAATCATATTATCTCTTTACCACTTTTCTCAATATTGTCACGCTTCATTTCTCTATTGATTGGTAACCTGTTTTGTTTTTTTTTCATCGAGACCCTCATCATATTCTTAAAATTTGTTTAGGAATTGTTTTCGTTCTCTTATTGCAGTCTGTTGTGTCATTTTATTGACCAAATAACGATGAGTTTAAAGATATTTTGAGAACAATTCAGTGGTACGACTTAAAATTTGGACGAATTAGTTTACGGAATCGTAAATCGAAGAGAGGTGCTATAATCACGATTGCATTATTTGATTAGTGTAATAAAGGAAATAAATTGCAGCCACTCAAATGCTATACATATACAGTTTCTACGGGTTGAGTGTTCTTTGTGCTGCACTGTATTTGTACACTCGATCAAAAGTGACAACCTCAGAAGATGCGCAATTTTTGGGTTTCCAACGAACGTATCTCATTGTTTATCTACTCGCTGTTGGTGAGTTTTTTGTGAACATATCCATGCATATTTTTGGTTTCATTTCATCTGATCTCAATTGCTTGCTCTACCTGCTTGCAATGCATTTGGTTCTTATCTTATCGCAGTTTGAGGACTTCTTTCGAATCATTTTCGATCCGAACAAACTCTTATCACTCGTCTAAAAAGGCTTTCAAAAGTAATTCCTTTTTTTTTCAAAGTCCAATGTCATGAAATCTTTTGGTAAACATTTATCTGTGTAAAAATCAAAATAGCACGAAAAAAAATCGCTTGTTCGCCTCATCGCTAACAATAAGCGTCGCCAGCCACATTTTAATGTATCTATCTCATTAATCAGCTTTCATCGAAATTCCGAAATGTTTGAATCGATTGGAAACACTCTGGTAAATCGTTTCTTGAGGAAGAATTTGATGATTCATAAATAAGTTTGCTTGAAGCCGGTGACTGGCTGCAAGGACCACATGTTTATGCGTTATACGAGTCGTATGGAATGTCAAAACATGACATTGAATTGCTTTTCGTCGCTGGTTTCGGCTCGAGTCTCGTCTTTGGAACTTTCATAGCATCTATTGCGGATAAATAGTTTGTTCGATTTGTTTTTTCATAAACTATCCAGTTCAGCCAATTATCTACGTATTCACTCATTCCATCAGCAATTACAGATCATTACGAGTTTATATCTCTTTTGTTACATTCTTCTCTCCTTGACATCGTTTTTTTTCATACCACCAACGATAAGATCGGAGGGACTTAACCGTCGCCATGGAATTCTAATTTTGATTATTGATTTGGCAATCATATAGGTACAGGACTACTCCGTCCAAAGATTTCTAAGGAGAGAGGCTCGAATCGAGCCCAAAAATACATTCCGATTGATCTAGGAAACATATGTCCAATGATCGCTCAGATTAACTGTTGAAAGCTATTAGAATTGCTATCAACTTATGCTATGAGATGAACAGTGTTTGTTAGTGTTTCGAATAGTTATTTTGTTTCGACTTGATAATATTGCAATTGAAATGTGAACGATTGTGAGATTATGAGACAAGATTAGGAGATTAGGACTGTATGAAGTATGAGAACATCACAGGGAATGATTTGTAATATCGAATAAATCATCTATGTATACAAGTCAACTGATGATCTTGATTGATAGAGGTGTTAGTCAGTAAACCGGGTTATCGAATATCTTTACACGAATACGTTTAGTCACAAAAGTAAGTCGTACTTGAGGCCAACTGGATAAGAGAGAGTATGTGGCAAGCAACGAGATAAGTTAAAAGATATCCTAAAAGTTAATATGATTTTGTTTAATATATCAATGGAAGAATTCATTTCAGTGGACGTAAATCGAATTGTTTCCTATACGCAGTACTGTATTCAGCAGCATGCGTCACGAAACATTTTGCGAATTTTTGGATTTTAATGATCGGACGTTTATTGGGCGGTATTGCTACGTCTATTTTGTACAGCGCTTTTGAATCATGGCTTGTTTTTGAGCACAATAAGGTTACATTTATCATTGGGATAGAAATTGTTGCGATAAACAAATACAGTAGACACTCTGATATGTCCACCAGAATTTATGCATTACCATTCAGAACCAACGGTCTCATCGAGCTGAACGATTCTTTTGAATTGTTTGAGATCGGAAGATCGAACTCAAAATTTGAGACTAACTATCAAGTGAGATAAGTCTCCCAGTGACATTTTTGAAACCGTTCCTCGAAAATAACTGAATTTGAAGCGTGGTTTCAACGATCAGTTACTGTCGACAATATTTTCACATGCGACACTCGGTAATTCATTGGTTGCGATTATATCGGGCGTTGTGGCGCAATACGCTGCGGATTTTTTCGGATTTGTGTGAGCTTTTTGGATGTCGTTTTTTTAAAAATCTGAAACTGCATATATTCTAATAAACATCGTGAAAATTTAAAAAATTTTTCAATTCTCCAAATTCTTGAATATACACATTGCTAGTTGAAATTGTTTGGAATATTGAAGATATTTAAAAATTATTCGAAATTCAAGTTGTTCTATGTCGCACCACTTTGATGCGTATGCAAATTCAGTGCTCCGTTCGATGCCTCTATGGCCGTGTTAACAATAATGGCAGGTATACTCATCTTTACATGGCCTGAAAATTATGGTGATCAAAAAGCAGAAGTTCATCAACATTTTATTGATGCTGTTCATATGATGAAAAACGGTAATCTATACTTGTTAGCACAGGATTTCCTCACTGAACGAATTCTGCTCATTTTGAGCAGTGTTGTTCGTTGAACCAAAAAATCAGTGGTTCATCTACAGCACTATTGAAATCTCGAATGTGAGCCATTTGACAGTTGCAATCGCCAATCAACAATTTAACTTCATTAGGCTTGCATTAACGATCTAATAAAATAGCAAATTTGCTTACAATTGGCATCTATCGTATCGGTCCTATACTGCACCAAGACCATTTAAAAATAATACACTCAAAATTTGACTCTCCAAAAGGCGTATACTCGAAATCGGAACTGAAACGCATTTCAGATGGTAAAGTGATCTGTTTGGGTCTCATTCAAAGTCTCTTCGAAGGCGCGATGTATGTATTCGTTTTGGAATGGACTCCAGCACTAACACTGGCCAGTTTAGGTGATCGTATACCACACGGTTATATATTCGCATCGTTTATGGTGGCCATTATGATGGGTTCATCCATCTTCAAAGTGCTCAGCAAATATCACAGACCTGAATCTTTTATGAGGTTACCTCGTTCAGTCTTCTTTGCTCTCTCTGCGCATAAATTTGACGTTGATAATCTGTGATCACAATCATGATCTAATTAAAGCGTTGCAAACATTTCAGAGTGGTATTACTGATATCATGCTTTTGTTTGGC